ATAACAACTCCATACATTTCGTGGTATTTGGTGCCTTAATCATTGTTAATTTGTTCTTTACTACATACAACATACAACAACTGGACATTCTAACATCTTGGCAGTGAGTATTACATTTATGAATTGTGAACTTAAACTAGAAACTCAGATTTTTCTTCTTCTTCAAAACAAAAATTATATGTGTTTCAGGCAACATACCAGAAAAAAACATAAGACAGGTCATGATCAGTATAAGCAAACAATTGTATATTTTTGTTCGGAATGGCTATTGACACTCGGGCTAGATAAGCAAAAACCGGTATGCCGGGTGACGGATTCCAGAAAGTTTTCTTGTGGCGATTGTAATTGTGCGTAGACGGTTGTGCATATCTGGATAGGATTTAGAACGATTAATGTAAGCTTTGATCTACAACCAGAGGCCCAGAGGGCCTGTATCGCTCACCTGTTTCTTTTGTTGCATGCAACTGACATATGGGTAACTTAAGACCAAATTTGGAAACTAGAACACAAGACATTTTAACGTCTCTTAAACGGTTCTAAAGATATTGTTGTTTGAAACTAAGTTTTTAACCCATATTGACTCCCATCTTGACCTTTGACCTCATTACTGTAATAAAGAAGACAATCCATACAGCTGGTCTACGTAACATACCCAAGTATCATGACTCTAATTAAATGGTTCTTAGGATATCGTTTTTTGAAGTTTTTAATATATTTGACCCATGTGACATTGAAAGTAGGTCAGGGTCATTTTAATAAGGCAACTTTATAGCACTTCATTCCAGGTACCTACTGGCCAAATATCATGACCATGAGCCTTATGGAATTTGAGAAGAAGATTGTTAAAGTCTTTGACCCATGTTGACCTTTGACCCCGACTTGCACTTAAAGTTGACCTATGACCTCATTACCGAATTGAAAAAAATAGTTGCACTGCTGGTCTTCATAACATACCCAAGTATCATGACTCTAGTCAAAATGGTTCTTAGGATATTGTTGTTTAAAGTTTTAATATATTTGACCCCAGTGACCTTGGGAGCAGGAATAGGTCTATTTAATGAGACAACGTTATAGCACTACATCCCAGGTACTTACTAGCCAAATATCATGACCTTGGGCCTTATGGAACTTGAGGAGAAGATTGTTAAAGTTTTTAACCAAATTTGACATTTGACCTCCATCAACCACTTAAAGTTGACCTTTGACCTCATAACTGTAATTGAAAAAAATATTCGCACTGCTGGTCTACAAACATACCCAAGCATCATGACTCTAGTTAAAATGGTTCTTAAGATATTGTTGTTTGAACTTTTTCATATATTTGACCGCTGTGACCTTGAAAGTAGATCAAGGTCATTTTGATTAGGGAACTTTATAGCACTCCATCCCAGGTACCTACTGGCCAAATATCATGACCCTAGGTCCTACATTTCTTCATAAGAAGTCGTTCAAAAGAACAAGATGTCCAATGGGCCTGCATCGCTCACCTGGTATTTTGTTTCTAAAATAAAGCTACTGGCAAAATATCAGTATTTATGTATAAAATTCATTCAAAAGAACCTGTTATTTTTTAACATTACACCCCTGTGATTGAAAGTCAAACAAGGTCATTATGTTTAACACATTTTATGCCTTTCATCTCAGGATGCAACTTGCAAAATATCAACATTCCGGAACCCATGGTTATTCAGAAGAGGTTGTTTAAAGATTTTAAACAAATTTGACCCCTGTGTCCTTGAATATAAGTCAAAGTCATTCACTTTAACAAACATGGTAGTCCTTGACCCAGCATGCTACGAACTAAATATCAACATCCTGTGCCTTTTGGTTATTCAGAACAAGTTCTTTAAACATTTTGAACATATTTGCTCCTTGTGACCTTGAATATGATTCAAGGTCATACATTTAAACAAACTTGGCAGCCCTTCATCCTAGTATGGACTAAATATCAACATCCTGGGCCTTTTAGTTATTCAGAAGAAGTTGTTTAAAGGTATTTTTTAACAATTGACCCCTGTGACCTTGAATATTGGTGAAGGTCATTCATTTGTACAAACTTGGTAGCCCTTAACACCAGCATGCTTCTGGCCAAATATCATCTTCGTGGGCATTTTGGTTATTGAGAAGTTGTTTAAAGTTTTTAACATATTTGACCCCTGTGACCTCGAATAGGGTCGAAGGTCATTCATTTGAACAAATTATGTAGCCCTTCATCTCAGCATCCTGCTGGCCAAATATCATCTTCCTGGGCATTTTGGTTATTCAGAAGATGTTGTTTAAAGTTTTTAACATATTTGACCCCTTTGACCTTGAATATGGGTGAAGGTAATTAATTTTAACTAACTTGGTAGCCCTTCACCGAGGCATGCTACCGGCCAAATATCATCACCCTCGGCCTTTTGGTTATTGAAAAGGAAGTTGTTTAAAGCAAAATATTGACACCGGACAACGGACGCCGCGCCAAGGCATAAGCTCACTTGGCCCTTAATATTACTTTGAATGAGAAAACTTTGCCTTAATTGTTAATTGACAGTCAAGGTCACTAGATTCATGTGTGAAAACATTTAAAGGGCATATTTTGAACATTCAAGGAGCCCAGTATAATAATATTTTACAAGTAGCATGCTAGGGTTAAGTGCTACAAAGTCTGTTCAATGTTCAGGAGAATCATTGGGCAAAGAGGACTTATTTCATATAACCAGAGGGTGTTCTCACACTCCTTTAGGGCAAAGGGGTGGGCAAGATACAGGAAAAAGAGGTAAAACTTCAAAATCCTTCTTCTCCTGTACCAAGGTGGGATTTTAACCAATTTTGTCCCATAGCATTTTTAGGCACCCCCATGAGGCAGAGGGGCAGGGCCCAATAGGACAAATAAAGGTAAATCTTTTAAAATCGTTCACCTTCTGTACTAGTTAAGGGATTTAAACAAATTTGTCCTAGAGCAGCTTTGGGCAAAGGGGATTCAATTTTGTTTGAACGGAGGATGTTGCCCCCACTGGGGGCATAGGGCAGGGCCAAATAGGGGTAATAAAGGATTATTAATTCTTCTGTACCAATGGAGTGATATTAACTAAATTTGGTTTAGAGAATTTTTGGCCTCAGGTGATTGAGTTTTGTATAAATGGAGGGTGTTGTTGCCATGGGGGCAAAGAGGCAGGGCCCAAACGGAGACATACAGGAAAGTCATTTGTTGAGAGCCCCACACTTTATCCTCCACATCTACCTATACTCAACATAATTAGAGGAATATATTCATGTTACCAGAGTTAGATCTGGGGAACTACCCCCCCCCCCCCAGGCCTTAAAAAAGACGGGATGGAAAAGACGACTGATAATGCCCATACCACATGATATGTCCCATACAGATATCAAATGATCTAATGCCACATATATTACAAGAGCTCACGCGATTTCCATTTGATCTAAAAGCGCACCATTATCTCAACATTGTATTCATTGTACTTAGCATCGATAACACCAAACACACATGTCGTAATATAACATAAGCTTGTCTTTATTACGTAGCACTACATCTTTTATATCCATATATAACAATATAACAATACAATGTAATGTGATTTCAGTTCGGAGGTTTACAATGAAGTTGTAGTCTCTAGCACCAATGAAACAACCACCACTACATCTAGGCGCGTACATAGCTGTTAGATGTGTACGTACAGTATGTAAAGCATAGGAATAGTTGCGTGTTTATCGAAGGTCCTCAAATATACCATTTTGAATTGAATGGATTTGCAATGGCTTCACGTAACAGGTATGTTGGTGTTTTTTTGTGAAGAGTGATTCACTTAACAATTTAAGTGTTCATAAATCTTACTATAAGCCGTTTCAAATATTCTTATATGACAGATAATTTTCTGTCAAATCAAAAACAAGTCAGCTTCATATTTCATATTTTTTTAAACAGAAATGAAGAAAAAACCCAGCAGTACACAAGAATTTTCCTCAAAGCAACCTATAAGNGGGGGGTGGACTGAGGATGGCTAGATGATAAACTTCGCACATAAATCGTTTACTGTCCAGCTACGCGCCTGGCTGTCATATACATGAACATAATTGTCACAGGAATGTATATATATAAAATACGTATACTGTATACGTCATAGATTCACGTACACTAATTCATTTTATTATCATATACGGTTATCACAAATATATAAATGTATATATATGTAAATTCATGTGCTCCTAATAAACGTCAGTGGACTAAAATCTTCACGTAATCATAAGCTGTTGTTATCTAAATACAAATGACTATGAGTTCTATGTACATGGAATATATGCAATGCAAATTATAATTACCACTTTTCACAAATAACTGTGTCACATATCCAAAACCATGTATTGTATACAAATGTATGTCACAGAATCACAGACATCACAATATGTTACAGCATTGTATGTCACAGAATCATAGATGCAATAGCAAAATACAGCAAGGTGCACAACTGATATGGTGTAAAACATATTGAAATACAAATCGCTTTCACAAAAACGAGTAACCAGAACCTCGCCTTTCCTGATTTTATGGCAAGCCTACATACAAAACAAGAGTACCGCGGAGCGGAACAATATACGCCCGTCGCATGCCATATGGTGTTATATACTTTCTTACAATGATATAAGATCTGCATCATTCAAAGAGTGATTAGCTGACATGCTATAAAAATCTCCGGATAAATAAAATCAAATACTGAAAGGAACAAAATCCTCGAATCAAAATTCTTTTCAAGGAAACACAACAATATATATCATGATTATTTAGCCTACTAAGTTTCAAAGAGATCCGTTAAAATGTAGGAGAATTACGGACAAAAATCAAATACTGAAATGAACAAAGGGCAATACCTTTTGGAAAAATTGTCGAATCAAAATTCTTTTAAGGGAGACACAACTTCATATCATGATTATGTTGTATACTAAGTTTCAAAGAGATTGGTCGAAATGTGTAGGAGGAGATTGCCGGACAAACCGGCCGGACAACGCCATACCATAATACTTCCGTCAAATTTGACGGGCGTATAAAAACTAAAAAATGTCAGAAAAATGCGAAACAAATTGGAACTTTTCTTTGTTGGAAATACAATACAGAGTCTCCGGACAAACACGGACTTCTCTTTATAATACAAACTTGTTTCGAGCGATCTTAACTAGTTCGTAGCCTTACACCATTATCCATCCTTAAAGCAACAGCCACAGTTAGTTGTGCTATATCTGAGTAGCAAATGGGAGGTAGGAATACTCTATCTCGTACAGGGACACAAACCCGTCCGTTTTGGTTACCGCTAGAGTCGTGCCGTCAATATTTGTACACATCTGGTAATCCTCTTCAACTGACCCATCCACCGAAATTTGGTTACGAAGAACCTTTTTCATTTGTCCCGAAAAGGATGTTACCGAGACATCTCCGTTTCTCTTGTCTAAAAGCATAACCAAGTCGAGTTCATTAACTATTGCAATGCCTTGCGGTTTCGCCAAACTCACAGCCGCATGCCCAATGAAATCCTTCTTATGAATGGCAGTTGAATCGTCGGATTTAAAGAATATGACCTTTGACATACCAAGGTCACTGACTATAATGTCAAAAGAGTTCGTCACAACAATGTTTCGTGGATTAGTGCAGTAATCCAACGAGATTTTCCTCCTTACGCGTCCTTGCAAATCAATCAGATCGATTCGTGTTGCACAAAATGGCGGACATCGGCAGGCAATCAAATGTTGTGATTCTTTGTGAAATGCAATGTGTGCATACTGACCCGTAGTCAGGGCCTTTCGGACGCTTGTTTCCTCTCCTTGCTTTAGACCTGGATCGCTGAGGAAAAGCAGCTGTTTTTGTTTCGGGGCAGTGACTACGCATTCCTCTTCAGATATAGCAGCGACGTCCCACGGTTCAACATATCCGAAGTCATACACATTCAATAAAGCGCCATGCTGACTGAGAACTTTCATGCAATAATTTGACTTGTCGATCAGTACAAATGTTTCCCCAACAGTTGCTATAGCTACCACGAACGGGACGTTAATGTCCCCGGATAACTGGATATCAACATATTCCTTATATGTTAACCCCACAATCCCGTCTCTGGTAGACGTGGTAACCAAGACATCAACGGATGGACTGACATGCGGTTCAGATTCAGTATGAACTACTGCATAATTGGCATTGTCTACAGCCTCAGGAAGCGGAGGAGCCGACGGCTGCATGTGAGGAACGTCCGTAACATCCATTTCCTGCTGCCGTGGCAACGGAGGGGCTGTAGGAACAGGACGAGGGAAAGAAGACGAATCAGACGATCTGTGTAATAGCAAGGAAGGGTGCTGAACCACACTCCCATATGTAGGGAGGCTGTCTTCATCTCCTTCGTGTGAATCCGTTTGCGGCGCCGTTGTTACATTTGCCAATTGATCATGAAAAACATCATCACTTTCTTCGTCATTAACGGTCACTGCATAGGGGCCTGAGTGACAGCTATCAATCACTTCAATATTCACAATGTCTGAGTTGGTCAATTTGTCTTCGAGTTCAGTATTGATCATAAATCTCAAGTCAAACGACTTTGTCAAGTCCGACTCCAGAAGTGGTAAAACATCTCCAAAAGATAGCACATTTTTCGACAGGTCTCCTGCTACAACCATATTCTGGGATGGTTTCATGGACGTCTGAAGAAGTAGAGCTATGGCAAGTTTCTGCTGATTATCTAAAGAAGCAAGCAGCGAGGAACACACAGAGACGTCTCGTTCTAAATGCATTTTCTCTTTTTCTTCCAATTTTCGCGCCTTTTTTAAAATCATTTCTTCTTGTTGGCATAGGTAATTCACAACCTTTTCCTTCAGATCTGCATAATAAGCTTTCACTGTCGATTCTGTATTTTCTCTGTCTGGGATAGCGTGCTCTAACTTTGATGTCAATTTTCCATGAATGAGCTGTGTTTGAGATACAACAGCGTCTAGGTCAGACGAGATTTGACGAATTCTGTTGTAGCAGACGGTTGCCATCGTTTTCGTGATGGCCAGAAGATTACATCCGTGATGCATGTTTCGTTTACATTGAATACATGCAAGCGAGTTGCATGCCTCACAATAGTAACTGCAGCGGATCCTGGGATGAAAGGAACACAACGGAGCGAAAACACCGTCATCGGTTGGGAGCGCAGGTCGTTCATTTTCTTGACTATAAAACTGGCATAAACTTCTTGTCAAGGAATCCTCTTCTAAATTCGATAACATGGACTCACCCACTTCCGTTTCCGGTTCTTGTGGTACGTGTTTATAACTACACACAGGACATGGGAATGAGGTTTGACCAAGATACTGTGTTATGTAGCCGATCAAACATTCGTGACAGAATACATGTTGACACTTCAGTTTCTTAGCGTAGTTGACAGGTTCATGGCATATGCCGCATGTGCATAAATTTTGAAGGATCTCGTCCATTTTGGAACTATCTGAATATACGTGTAATCAGTAAGCTGTCTCCTTATTTCAGATTACTTAAATAGCTTGGTTCCAAAACTTTTTTGACTTTTGAACGTCTTCTCAACTGTAGTCTTCGTTCATTCTGAAATATAAAAGGGACCTATCAATTGCATTGGACACGGCAGTAGTTGGCAATAATAATTTATCAGAATAGCCCAAAAATATTAATTAAAACATAAGTTAGTCCCTTTAAGCGTTTTTTGTGTGGATTGTTTGGTGTAATTCAATTTCTATATTCAAAAAATACGACATGATACAGTAAGGTTGAATAGGCTCGGAATGTAACGATTAGGTGTGAGAAGTGGTGTTTATGGTTTGGAGTTTGGAGTGAGTAGTGTTCTGTATGGTAGGTGTTTGGTGTGAGAAGTGGTGTTTGTGGTAGAAGCTTGGTGTGAGAAGTGGTGTTTATGGTACGTGTTTGGTGTGAGAAGTTGTGATTGTGGTAGAAGCTTGGTGTGAGAAGTGGTGTTTATGGAACGTGTTTGGTGTGAGAAGTTATGTTTGTGGTAGAAGCTTGATGTGAGAAGTGGTGTTATGATAGGCGTTTGGTATGGGAGGGGTCTCTATAGTACGTGTTTGGTGTGAGAAGTGGTGTTTGTGGTAGAAAGTTTTGAGCGAAAAGTTGTCTTTATGGTAGGAGTTTGGTGTGAGAAAATGTCTTTATGGTCGGAATTTTGTGTGAAAAATGGTGTTTATGGTTAGGGTTTGGTGTTAGAAGTGTTGTATGTGGTATAAAGTTTGGCATAAGAAGTAGTGTTAAGGTAGGAGTTTTGTGTTAGAAGTTGTCTTTATAGTTGAGTTTGTTGTGAGAAGTGGTGTTTCTGGTAGGAGTTTGGTGTTAAAGTGGTGCTTGTGGTAGGTGTTTGTTGTGAAAAGAGGTGTTTGTGGTAATAGTTTGGTGTAAGAAGAAGTGAAACAGTTTGTGGTAGTAGTTTGGTGTTAGAGGTGGTGTTTGTGGTAGCAGTTTGGTGTAAGAAGTGGTATTTGTGGTAGTAGTTTGGTGTTAGAGGTTGTGTTTGTGGCAGTAGTTTGGTGTTAGAGGTGGTGTTTGTGGTAGTAGTTTGATGTTAGAAGTGGTGTTTGTGGTAGTAGTTTGGTGTTAGAGGTTGTGTTTGTGGTAGTAGTTTGAAGTTAGAAGTGGTGTTTGTGGTATTAGTTTGGTGTTAGAGGTGGTGTTTGTGGTAGGAGTTTGATGTTAGAAGTGGTGTTTGTGGTAGTAGTTTGGTGTTAGAGGTGGTATTTGTGGTAGTAGTTTAGAGGTGGTATTTGTGGTAGTAGTTTGATGTGAGAAGTGGTGTTTGTGGTAGTATTTTGGTGTTAGAGGTTGTGTTTGTGGTAGTAGTTTGATGTTAGAAGTGGTGTTTGTGGTAGTAGTTTGGTGTTAAAGGTGGTGTATGTGGTAGTAGTTTGGTGTAAGAAGTGGTATTTGTGGTAGAAATTTGATGTTAGAAGTGGTGTTTGTGGTATTAGTTTGGTGTTAGAGGTGGTATTTGTGGTAGTAGTTTGATGTGAGAAGTGGTGTTTGTGGTAGTATTTTGGTGTTAGAGGTTGTGTTTGTGGTAGTAGTTTGATGTTAGAAGTGTTGTTTGTGGTAGTAGTTTGATGTTAGATGTGGTGTTTGTGGTAGTAGTTTGGTGTTAGAGGTGGTGTTTGTGGTAGTAGTTTGATGTTAGAAGTGTTGTTTGTGGTAGTAGTTTGATGTTAGAAGTGGTGTTTGTAGTTTGGTGTTAGAGGTGGTGTTTGTGGTAGTAGTTTGATGTTAGATGTGGTGTTTGTGGTAGTAGTTTGGTGTTAGAAGTGGTGTTTGTAGTTTGGTGTTAGAGGTGGTGTTTGTGGTAGTAGTTTGGTGTTAGATGTGGTGTTTGTGGTAGTAGTTTGGTGTTAGAGGTGGTGTTTGTGGTAGTAGTTTGGTGTTAGAGGTGGTGTTTGTGGTAGTAGTTTGGTGTAAGAAGTGGTATTTGTGGTAGTAGCTTGGTAGTTTGGTGTTTCAGTACACATTTTATAAGATTGTCAGTACTTGGACTAAAGCTTTAGCTTTAATTTGAAGTTTTACAAGTCATCAGCATTTTCATCTTTACAAAAAAGTTCCTACATGTAATCATACTATTCTTAGGAACCGGAACAATCCCATCAGGTACTGAAGCACTAGAAATATATATATATGCAAGTGTACAAGGTAATTAGGACAAGTAACCGCTCGTTTGTTTACATTCCTGTAGTCATAGAACCAGATTGATTAGTGTTCCAGTACCTACTGATTGGGGTATAGGAGCTTGTTTTGTTCAATAGAAAATATTAGGTAAAAAGGTATTGATATTATATCTTTATGACAACAACCTAGATCAGTCCTTCATTGTGTGGTGTCTAAAAACACATATACATTAAAGGTCTAGGTTGTTGTCATAACATGCAATATCCTTACCTTTTTTAATAATAGTGAATAATACTAATTTGAGGTTCTTATATACCACTTTATCACAACCTACATTGTAGTTTGTAGGTCATCTCAATGTGATTCACAAATTGTTATCTGTGGTAATAGGGCCTTTGCAACCAGCTAATATCTTTCTCAACTCCATAGGGAGCATACAGCTAGCATTCAACAATTCTAGCACTGCCCAATTCCAACCACATACTCATTTACAGCCGAGTAGACTGGAACAAGCAGAGTAAAGTTTCTTGTTCAAAGATACAACACAGTGCTGTGGCGTGATTCAAACCTGCAACCTTCGGTCACAAGGCAGGCGTTCTACCACTAGACTACTGTGCCTCCTCCATTTTACCTATTATTATCTATTGATTGAAACAAGCTCCTGTGGTTAGGGGCATCGACCATACCTTGTGATCCGCTGCATTTCACCGGGCATACAGAGAAAAGTACATGTAAATGTGGTGTATGTGTGTAGTATTATCCTGCCCAACACTGATCATTGATAAGGTACTGGAGCTGTATCGGCAGATTTGGATATTTGCAGTCAAAAATGACTATACACAGCACACTTTAATATATATAGGACAAATGTAAACAAACAATTTAATTGTGGTCGCAATTTCTTCACACACATCCAAATAATGGTTGACAAACAGGTTGAGTCGGTAAAAGAAGAGATTTTTATATAATAACTCTACTTCTGGTGACTTTGTAAATTGTCAGCATAGCAACTTTTTGCACAAGCATCCTTTAATACCCATATCTGATTGTTAAACAGGAATATTGGAGACTTATTGATGTTTCTGGGAACATTATTAATCAATTTGGTAGGAAAACACAAAATAGTTCAATCCCTCTCAGCAAATGAACAACTATAACGGCTTGTTATCATTCCTTCTTGGAAGTATCTTCCTAATGCACATGGGGCCCCAATCTGCTTCTTCAGCATATTTGTCTTCAGAAACACATTGAAAACACACGCTATCATAAGTTAATACTAATAAGAGATACATGTTGATAAGGAAAAAAGTGTAATGATAGAATTTCACCATATCAGTGCAATTAACAAAGTATCTAATTTCCCCAATGACATTGTATACATGTGCAGATAAATATTCCAGTAACAGCTTGTTTGTTTACTTTCGTCCTATATACATGTAGGTTTTCTATGCATACTAGCCTCACAGGTACTAGCATTGTCTGTCTATACCCCTATAATATAATCAGGTTGCTTATTCTGTCCCCCTAGTAAAATGACCCGTTCCAGAAAACGAGATTTTGTCATAACCATCCATAGTATGACACCGGGAGCAGTCTAGATTGACAGGAAAATATTCTTTCATTAATTTGATGTATGATTTGCCATATATCGTGCAGTATAATTTATGATAGACTTCATGAAAAATCGAAAAATGGTTGAATTTCAGTTGGTCGGACACTGTGCTGTCCACGAGATGACATGCTAAATCCCTAGTGGGTATAGTAGTGCAAAACACACGGCATGTCTGCTATTCAATGTCGGTACAGTATTTCTACAATAGGAAACAAACTTACTTGTATGATAGTTCATGGCCTTACATTATCATGTCGGACACCCGAGTCCAGTTTTTAAGCTGGTCAGGCTGACGATCAGAAATCTGATCAGATTGTTCCGTTAAATTTAAAAGCCAACCAGCATCGAGGTCACAAAAGTTGGAGAAAATGGCAGGTTCTGTTCAGATTTCCGTGGACAGCACAGTGTCTGTCCAACTGAAATTCGACCAATTTTCGATTTTTCATGATGTCTACCGAAATAACTGCATGATATATGGTAAATCATACATCAAATTAAAGAAAAAATATTTTCCTGTCGATCTAGGCTGCTCCCGGCTGAATACTACTATGAACAGTTATGTCAAAATCACAGGTTTCCTGGAACTAGGTCATTTTACTAGGGGGACAGAGTTAGCAACCTTGATTATATTATAGGTGTATTGACAGACGAGCCTATTACCTACATGCTAGCATAGTCATATTTGACCGATAGCGAAATCTGCCTTCATGTATATAGCCAGATTTGACCACAGGCTTTTGTTACAAATGTCTAATACACGTTTATGCTAAATTGAACAGAAGTCTGACGTTTTAATCAATATAAGTTTAACAGTATGCACTTATATTGATTAATCGTCAGAATACATATTGATATGGGTCACAACACACTCACTGTTCAGGTGTGCTGTGACAAATGTCAGTTTGGCATGCCATGAATTCAGGTCGTTTAGGTACCCAGTTGTTTCGGTACTTCTGAAAATCGTTTTGGTATTTCTGAAAGTCGTTTCGGTATTTCTGAAAGTCGTTTTGGTACTTCTGAAAGTCGTTTCGGTACTTATGGAAATTGTTTCGGCACTTATGGAAAACCCTCTTTGGTACCAAGTTATAGTCAACGTCACCACTTTTTGCGTGCTGTATACCTTCAAGGGAAGTAACTCTAAGTGTGGAGTCAAACTTATGCTATAATACATGTGTTTGTATCAGTTTGTTATTTTGATTTGCTCATGTTTCCAATATCTTTCTTTAATAGATTTTCTGGAGAGGTCTTTGCTTGTTTTTTTCACTTAATAACATGGTTAATTTATATTTCAACAAAATAAATAGCTAAGTATAGCGGGACATATATATAACATGTTTAATTAATAATAATAAGAGCGCAGCTCTTCTTGCGCCAAAAATATCTCTTTATTTGATAAATTTTTTCTGTGCTTATGTAAATTCATGACATTAAAAATTATAGAAACTGAAGTTTCTTTCAAATTTTCGGTCTTTTCTTCTCTCCATCCAAACCGGAAGTATATGGTAACTACCAAACCAAACGTTAAATCCAGATATGTTTGGGCTATTGTGATTCTCTTTTTAAACGATTTAGAGGGATCAGGCAAAGTATATCATGGAATTTAATCACCAATATACAATTAACTTTAATAATAACAGATAATAACAGTTATATTTGATAAACAATATATCTTCAAATATGAAGTCCCTCTACTGTGCCTCACTCTTTCCGCAACATTACGCTGAGGCCATAGACGGGGCAATTAAATACAACAGTACCAAATGCATTTGCGTTTTCTCTTGAACTGCATAATTCATTCGAATGTTTTTCTTTACTTATTATTAATTTTACATTAAGTACTTTATCGCTATAAAACGAATTAATAGATAATATTTTAAATAATGTTATTTAGAAAATAAGATTGATAAAAAAAGCATTTAGACTCTTCGCTCGTTTCAGGCAATGCCTGTTTTCAAAATGATTGATTTTGCCCAGCAACAGATTCAAGTATATCATATAAAAAAAAATGCAGGTACATTTTGTATGCATTAAAATGGGTAATGTTATGATTCAAAAAGTATACTATACTATTGAAAAAAATGTACGAGCTGCGCTCTCTCCAGGCCATGCCCGAGTCATATTAATAGTACCGAAACAACTTAAATACAGGTACCGAAACGACTTACAAAAAGTACCGAAACATCTTCTTTTTGAAGTACCGAAACGACTGTATCCCCTAAGTTTCCTATAAACTCCACAGATACCAAACTGTCTTCAATGCGGAGGGGACGTTTAAGCTCCGACACTACTATCAAATCAAATAATATTTATTTAGAGTCGGACAATTTGTAACAACATTAGCTCTAAAGAGCTATTTATCCGACACTGCTCTAATTTTTCCTGTAGACTATTGACATTTGACGTAGGACTAAAACGTATTCTATTTCACCAGTCATGGGAACCGTAATTACCATATATAGTGTCTAAAAGTACCTTCATGTAACGTTTTCTCATTTCCCAGTCTTCGTTCATGCAGCCGGAAATACATTTAGGGGCACTACTAATAACCAGAATTTGCGCTGTTAACATGGAGTGATTAGTTTCTTAGAAGCAACCACCTTACCTCATCATTCTTTATATCTTACTTATTTATGGACAAAAAAGAAGTAATACAAATGGTTTTGTGTAACATCAAGACAAAATTCAGGTAACCGTCCATAAACAGAATGGAAAATTCTAGTTAAAGTTAAAACCGTGATTACGTCACCGGAAGTTGTGTATTGTACTGCGAAAATAAACGTGATAACACTAACGGCAGGAAAAATCCTATCAATACGTTTAGGAGACATTTGCTTCTGAGATGGGCTTTGCAGTGGCAGATCCAGACCCTTTATCTGGGGGGCGGCGAAGGGAGCAAATTTCCAGTAGGGGTTTCCATGTGGGGAAAAATTGAGGAAAATGGTGAAATACATGATTTTTAAAGAAAATTCTCAGGGTGGGGTCGGGGGGTTCATGTAGCCCAAAAAAAACCTTTGGATCCGCCACTGCTACGGCTTGTGTTTATGAACGGGCTTGTAGTTGCATTTTCGTAATGCAAGCGAGAGGGGGATGATTTCCTGCAGTTTATAAAATATTACTGAATCACATTCCTATCTTCGAAAAGAAAGATCCATTAAACAAGGAAAACTATAGACATTTGAGTGTTCTTCCCACAATCTTAAAAGTCTTGGAGAAGATATTGCACGACCAGCTCAATGTGTTTTTAAATGATATTAAAACCCTTTCCTAGACGCCTTCAGACGGGGCTATGTGTGCCAGTCTGTCCTGCTGTGACTCCTGGAGGATTGGCGTCAGTTTTTGGACTGCGACTCCTGGAGGATTGGTGTCAGTTTTTGGACTGCGACTCCTGGAGGATTGGCGTCAGGCCTTGGACAACCGCAAGCACATAGGAGCTATCCTAATGGACTTGTCCAAGGCTTTTGACTGCCTTCCTCATGGTCTGTTGTTGGGGAAGCTGTAAGTCTATAGACTAGATGAGTCAGCAGTTACACTTGTCAGTAGTATAGGACCTAGTTACCTCAGTGATAGACAGCAGCGTGTCAGGCTTGACCCTATGGTTAGCGACTGGGGATGGCTCAGGAAGGGGTCCCCCAAGGATCTATAGTGGGGCCTCTTATTTTTAACGTCTTTATGAATGACATTTTTACTGTCTTAAAACATGGGTCTCTGTTTAACTATGCAGATGACAAAACTTTGTCTCATATCACTGATAGTGCTCTTGATCTTAGTATTGTGTTACAAAATGAAAGTAATTTATTACTTAATGGGTTCACCAAAAAATGGCATGCAGGCAAACCCTGAAAAATTTCATGCCATCTGCATAGGAAGGAAATCAAAAGAGCAAATTTCATCTTTCACTATTGGAGATCACCAATTTACATGTGCAGATAGTGCGACTTTACATGGGGTTGAAATTAACAGTGATCTAAAATTTGAAAATCATATAACAATCTTATGTAGGAAGGCTTCCAAACAACTATGTATACTCAAGAGAATTGGAATCATCTGACAAAAAAGGCAAAGTCACCATTTTTAAATCTTTTATTTTATCAAATTTTAATTTTTGGCCTCTTTCATGGCATTTTTGTAGTATTAGAAATACCAGAAAAAATGGAAAAGATACAAGGAAGAGCTTTACGTTTTATTGATAATGATTATAGCTCATCTATTAAAGAGCTTTTAGCTAGAAATGAATTAAATTTTTTACATATATGTAGGCTGAAGACCATGGCCAAGGAAGTATACAAGATTTTAAATAATATTGCTCCAGAACTCTTGAGGAGTCTTATCAATAAAAACCAAGTTTTATATAATTTCAGGAAAGTTGACACTGTGACTATACCAAGAGTAAATACTACCACACATGTTAAGAAATCTTTTCGTTTCGAAGTCGCCCAGGTGTGGAATAGCCTACCTAATGAGATTAGACAAGCAGAAAACTACAAGGTTTTCTGTAGGCTGTTGCTGGGAAGGTGATTTCTGCCAGTGTTCTATATGTTCCTGACTTTTATCTTATTGATCCCCCATTTTATTTGAGTTTTTGCTTTTATTTTGCTTCTTAATATTACTTTAAATTGTCTGAGTATTTTATTCCATCATTTTCCAATATAAAGTATCTTATTGACCATTTGTGATATTATATGAAATATGTGCTTGCTATGTCTGATATGTTTTATATGCTTTATGCTTATGATTTGTGCTTATTTTATAATTAGTACTGTTCCTGCTTTTAACATGCATGTGCTATCATCAAACTGTTTTTGATTCTTTTTGTAGTTTCTATGTATATAGCTTTTGCTGCATAATCCTACTTTTTCTACTAGCATGCTTTATACCTTGTTATTACTCTGTTTTGATACTTATGTTTGTCGTAAAAATCGCTCCACATAACTAATGTTTCAATGTTATGCCATATACGACAGTAAATAAAGCTTCTTGTATCTTGTAGCAATACTGCAAAAGGCATCAACATCAACTTTAAAGAGGTAACTAGCTATACATTGTAATCTCAAAGTTTGAAACTTACACTAGTAAGTGTGAAAACAAACGCTTGTTCCAGTTTACATAACAAAGATTAAATTTGCAAGTTAAAAAAGCTTTCAATTGAGATTAAAAACAATCATATTTTTTCTAAAAAAAATTCTGGTTTTGAGATTTTCCCCATTAGTTCCGAGACCCATATTCGGTACCAAGCAACAAGGACAAACTAAAATGCTGGCACTTCCTCAGAAACGATAGAAACGAAGAGATGGGGAAGATCCCAAAATAAAATAAAAATATTATAAAAACAACATCTCAATTGAAAGCTTATTATATAATTGCTCACGCTCTAAGGGAAATAACTGTGATATCTGATGATATTGAAAAATGATACCAGATAATGTGTATAAGGGATTAGACACATTGTCCGTGCCATGTGTCCACTGGCCGTATCCAACATCATATATCCGAGGAATTGAAAGTTCAAATACATCGCTTACAGCACGAAAGTCCGCGAATGGTTTCTAATATACTGACACCGTTGCTCCGAATTTTCACAGAAAGTCTAAGAGAAATAGATAAATAAATAAAAAGTACCCATTCTCTATCACTTGACACCGAAACAGAAAGAAGAGTGGAGATCAAATTAGAATATTCAACTGCGTGAAATGCAGGAAACGGTACACGCAGTATATACTTTGGTGTCATGTTTTTTTTCTTTTTTCTTTATTCTATGGACGGGTATTTAAAAAAAAACGGGGAAAGCATGTCATTTTTAAATACGATCTTCAAGATCAGTTTATCAGCTTTCCATTGGTATACGATATGTGCGTCTGCGATGTCGATATAATTGTTTATATTATATCTGACATAATTTTATGAAATACAGTATCAACATTGTTTCTAGTATAAATGTTAAGCTAGCTTGTCAAAAAGAAATTTGAAAAACAATCATTGGTATTGTACGTCTAATGATTCCCGAACCACTGTCAAAAACTGTTACTACACATTGGAAACTGTTGAATGGTATAACTTTAGCTTTGATATATTAAAATTTCCGGAAAAAAATCCTTGCGTGATTTTTTTTATTAAAATAAGCACAATATAGTCAACAACCGTGTTGAAAGTTTAACAAATTGAACTAGACCGAATTCCGAACCAAGCATGTCGGATTTGTATACTGTCGCTCTCTTTTGTTATACTCTAACCAACTAGGAAGTATCATGGCATAAGTGTGCTACAGTTATATGTATCCTAAAACTTAACGCAACACGAGTGCTTTTGACAGGGACCCTTAAGTATGCTTATATATGTTTTATGTTGTTCTCTTCAATAACAGCTATCGCAAATAGGTGAATCATTTTATAAATTGAGACCCAGTCTCAGTTGTTCTTATTGAATTGCTATGATCGAGTATGGCAATGCACTTTAATGTCCGTGAGCATGCATTATGTTAATTAATTCAATAAAGAATAATTTCAGAATATTTTATTGCATTCATTGATATAAAAAAAAACGCTGCTGTAATACTAAATTGCAACAAATTAATTTGTAACGTACCAGTTGACTTATGCTTTCTCTCTTAACGGTATTATTGATGACGTCATCATTTTATGTGTATAGAGTGTATACAGTGACATCATTAATGACTTCTTGTTGTGTTAAACATAAACATGAAATGTACACAAGTTTCTTTCTTTGTTGCACTGCCCACATATACGAAAACACATATGGCATCAGTCACAATGTCTTCTAGTGATTTCAGAAATATTGAAGCTGAAGAGCAAGTTTGACATTCGTCTTTTATTATAAACATTGTACACTCTATATGTTATTGCTTTGTGACCGCTGACTCTATATATAGTACAGTGTGAATCTGTTTCATTCACGTTTCGGAATTATCTCACTCCAATAAATGTAAATGATAAAACAAGATGTAAATCCCATATATGTATTTTATTTCATTTTAAGATAATGAAGAAGCTCGTTCAAAAAACTAACTGATTTCAGCTCGGTCATCAAATTACCTTGTGATTAGCATTGACGTTTTTTCTGCGGCTATAGTTAAAGGACTCTCAATATATATTGTATCTGCTCACATGACGAGTCTTCTTCAATCTTTAGAAAACCTCATATTGAAATTCTTTCATTCAACGTGTTAGATCATCGCCGCACTTTTTATATTCCAGTAAAGTTACATTTCACAAGTCGTTTTCATTACTTGAATTTGCGTCAGTTTCCTTTTAGATAAGCCGAAAGTTTAGCTACTAATTCTGAAATTGCCTCCTTGGAAAACGATATGTCTTCGTTCACATTTATGTCTTGTTTGGTACCATGGGCTGTTATGTTTTTCAACAAACCTTTCTTTGTCAAATGACCTAAGGCAGCAGATAATCCCATATCGTCCCTGAGAGGGTCTGGTGATAGTGGCATATCACTGACAATCATAGCCAGCATAATCAGACAGATCATGTGTACCAGCATGATTCTAATGTAATA